ATAGATCTGTAAATCGGGTTTCTTTGTTCTCTTAATAATTCTGAGAGACCGATCATCTTGTCCTGAGGCTTTAGGACAAGATTCCTGTCCCTGGAAGGGTTCTTTCCTTTCGGTGTCCGCAGGGCCATTCTGCTGTTGGCTGTCCACCCCTTTGCAGAGATCTCGAATGGCCTGGGTTCCATTTTCCAGAGCAGAGGTATCTCTGTCATTGGCAGTTCCATCCCTGAATTCCTCAGTCCCCGAAGGTTCCTTGATTTTGGGTTTGTTCCTCAGTCGGGAAAGACCAGGTTTATAGATTTCCAGATCTGGGCGCCTGTTATCTTTACGCTGCCTGGGCTCCTTCAACTCCTTCATGTTTTCTGTAGGGGGAGGGTAAAGAGGAGGGGAGAGAGAGAGAAAGAGTGTGTGTGTGTGTGTGTGTGTCACTGTGATTATGTAACAGAAAAGCAGGGCAAGATTACACACCCAAATGCTCCTATTGGCAAGCAGGAAAGGAAAGGTCTCCAGAGGCCCCTGGAGCACAAGGTGTTTTGAAATGGAAACAAAACAAGAGCTAAAATTTTGGGTTTACATATGAGCTCAGCATCTGGCAAGGAAAAGAATCTAGCTGTGTTGGGGCTACCTATACTTAGAATAGGAAAAAGAAAAAAGTCTGTACTCTGGAACTACCGGAACTCTCCTTCACTCTCCTGGACTCCAAATCAACCAAAAGCTCTCTGATGCTTCCCTTCACCAATATTCTCTATCTACAGAACCCCTTGAGTCATCTCAGGCCATTATCCCTTTGCCTCTTGGGTGTGGTTAAACGCCCCAAGTATTGTGGGATGGGTGATTTTTACTAAAAAATATTTTGGAAGAGAAAATGGATATGCACATAGCAATCCAAAGGCCACAGTCTCCTCTAGGGACCCAGTTCCTGATCCCACAGTCTCTAAACCTGTAGACCAATGGTATAGCTATAGTAATCCCCTCCTTGAGGGAAAAAATGGAGGGTACCAAGCACACACCTCCTGTTGGAGAAAACAGGAAGCAGTTCCTCTCACATTCTTCACCTCCACTCATGCTCACCAACTCCCTGACAGCAGCCAGCAAAGCCATTCCAAGGAAATAGTGCTCAGGCCCCCATCATTAGAACACTGAGACTTGCTGCTGCCACGACGATAGAATGTGAGAAGGAAAAGGTTCTGCAAGGGAGCTTTCCCTGGAAGATGAGAGAAGGATTGTGACATGCTCTCCAAACACCAATCTGGCACGTGCGAAAAAAAATGAGGACTAATTCAGACAAGGGTGAGCCATAACTCTTGGGATCATCTCTCGGGCTCCACCCACTCACTATCATATCTACACAGCAAGTCACTTAGCCTTTGGAGGTTCTGTTTCCCTCTCGGTGAAAAGGGAATGTTACTACCTGAAATGATTAACCATGTTTATGGAAAATGTGGTATGAAGGTGTGAGTGTTAATACAGCACTCAAAAGAAAGGTGCTATGGAAATAGCAGAGTTGTTCTAGAAACGCTTAACCCTGACAGCTCTGGAACAGTAACAGTCAGTTCCAGAGTTTTAGTCCAACTACTGACCACTGATTAGTCGTTCAAACAATAAGAAAACTAGAAAAAAGGAATTTCTGTTGCCAAAAGACATTAGAATAAAAAGAATTACAGAATGGGGCTGCTGCAACAAATACAGAAGGCCATTAAATCACTTTCAAGGACAACTCCCACAGTTCACCCCAAAGAAGGATGGAAGAAGAAATTCTACTCAGACTGCAAAGTAGAGATGCAAACAAATCAGTAAGCAACAAAACCCAATTTCGCAGCCTTTTTTTCACTCCACATCTCTTTGTTGCTCAAAACCCCGGTCCCTTCCTCAATCCATGCTCTCTATGAACTCTGTGCAGCTCTGGGTACTACTGACCAGCCCCTCCTCCATGGCTCTCTCTCTGTCCCCTGGGCTCATGACACTATCCCTTCCCACATCTCCTCTTCCATCTCTGATCACTCCTTCTGAGTCCCCTCTGCTGGATCACTGTCCCCATGCCATTGCCTAATCATGAAGTCTCTGTCCTAGGCCCTTTTCCTCCTCCGCTCTCCCTTTCCTCCTGGTTTCACAGGCTTCCACAGGTTCAAGTATCAATCTATACATCCATGTGCCCAAGTCCCACATCACCAACTGTCCACCAGATAACTTGACCTGGATGTCCCATGGTCATCTGAAACACAAGAAGAAACTACACCCAGTCAGTCACATTTACAACTTCAGAATTATTCTCAGCTCTTCCTCCTCCTTCCCTCCCTCCCAAGTGTTACTAATGTTGCCTCTCTATCTCCTAGCTTTGATCCTCTCTCTCTGCTCAGAGCTACCCCCTGGTCCAGGCCCTCATCTTGTCTCTCCTGGACTACTGCAATAGCCTTCTGACTGCTCTGCTTTTAGTCTTCGTCTTCTCCTTTCAACCTCCACAAAGCTGCTAAAAGCCCAGATCTGACCATACCCCTCCCCTGCTCAAGAAGCTTCAGTGGCTCCCAATGACCTCTGGGAAATGAGAGAAACTCCTCAGATAATCAATTAAAGTCCCACACAACCTGGCTCCAGTCTATCTTTCCAGACTCACTCCACACTACTCCCCCTGCTGGCATTTACCCTTCTAAAGTCACATACTTCCAACTCCCAACTCCTTGGCCTGCCCAGGACGCCCTCTCCCTCTCAGACCTCACCAGCCTCCTTCCAGGTGGTGCTGCACCTATTGTTAATGCTCTTTCCCTCCTATTATCTTGTTTCGTCTCCTCTGTTAACATAGTCTATTTCCTAATAAAACAAAACCAGTCCCTGGAAAGCAGGGATCATAGTCCCCGTGTCTAGAATGACGCTGCCCTGTACACAAAACACACTTAATAAACACTAGTTCAACTGAACCCAACTGCAAAGGCCCACTGGCCATTTCCTACATGGCCCCCACCCTGGGGAAGCACTGTTCCTGGGCTCCCAGGCACCCAAGTGGCAGTAGACTAGCCCAGTCTCCCACAACATCCAGGGAAAGTGTGCATGTGCTCCTGGGGACACTGAGGGCAAAGGGTTTACTTGGGGCAAACCCTTCGGAGGACCCATTTGCTCTCTGGAAAAAAAAAAAACTAAAGAAGTGAGGAGGCAGTCACAGGTTGCTTCGCCTCTCTATTTTCACTGACTTTTTTTTCTTTCAGAAGCAGAAGAGATGCCAGGAAGATGGAACCAGAGGGGGTGGGGGTGCAGGGAGAAGAGAAGGTAGACCTGGGGTGGGAAGGAAAAGAGGGGAGGAGGAGAAGAGGTAGGACTTGGTGGGGGGTAGGATCTGGAAGGAGGGGGAATATGACCTGAGGATGAAGAGGTAAGGGAGAAAAAGAGGCAGGGAAGAAGAAGAGATAGGACCTGGGAGGGTGGACAAAAGAAAAGGTAAAGAGAAAAGGGAGGATGGGGGAGAAGAGGTAGAACATGGAGGAGGAGGAGGGAAAAAAGAGGTAGAGGGGAAAGAGGAGGTGGGGACCTGAGGGAAAGATAGGACCTAGAGAGAAGGTAGGTGGGGGTGTGGATAGGAGGCAGGATCTGGGGGGGGGGAATAGGAGGAGGGAGG